ACAAGGTGAAACGTTGAAAGTCAAAGGGGACGGTTGGAATGGTGGAGCAAGAGGGTTCAGTGCGGTCACTTGCGACTGTCATGGCGATATCTCTGAGGAGTTGAATTCACCTAGTCTCCCTTGTGCAAAAAATTCCCTCGTGGTGCTGCCAGCTGCAATGTAATGGCAACCCAGAATAGGGTGAAAATCGAAAACGATAAATTCCTCGCCTCCCGTCCATCCAACTGCGCTGGTTGCATCAGGTACGATGTTTTGAAGACGGGTGGCATCCGACTAACGACTGGCAACATATTTCTTGAAGAAGGAAGCCCTCATTTCACCGACTGGCCTCGAGGTAGGCAACAAATCGACCAACAATTTACTGACCGGCGTCGTCATCTTTCCCTGCATAACGTCTGCATGTATGGTTCCCGCGCAGAAAATAAAAATCGGGCCAAAACAGGGTCTGGCGCACGGACTGTCATGCAATTCTAACCAGGGAGTACAATTTTACATGCACTATAAAAGTGCATTTCAAAACTATAGACGCGTAGGGGTTTTGAAATATTTCAAATTTGGCTGGAACTTTTTGAGAATAGTTTTCGGAATATTGCTAGCTCCGGCAGGATCGCTCCACAATAGACCAATCCCGAAAAGATTGTCTGGGTTCGTGAAAGGGGGCACGCGTGCAAGCCAGCACGTGTGAAGTGCATCGTTTTGTATTCAGTTTGTGTGTGTCAGCTCATGGCGGAGGAGAGAGAGACTTTTGCTCGCCGAGCTGAAGCTAAAGGATTTGATGGAGTCCTGCCAGCAGCTAGTCAAAGGACCTTCGGTACCTTAGGCAGACCCTGACGGAGTTTGGAGGCCAGATAGCTCTCGGTGAGGAGAGAAACATTCGCTTGGTGATCGACTCTCCGTAAAAAATGCAAGCTACATAGCGCCGACATACTGCAACAGCTACGATTTCAGCTAACTTCTCGATCTGCTGCTTCACAAAGTTCAACTATTTACAAGTCCTGACTGTTGTAGTCTGAAGCTGGAGTCTCATCGCCCACCTGTACCTACACTCTACAGGTAGCTTTTGGAGCTGATGGATTTCCCGACTTGGAGTCCTTCCGCAAACTCTCGCAACATTACTACAGTGTATGCTGTGTTTCCGCACGCTCGTGTAGAAATAAACGGAAAACCAGGTCGGCACCTGGTTGGTTGCGTGTACCGGCCACCGGGGGAGCCAGTGTCTTACTGGGCAGATTTGGAAGCAGATATTGTACGAGCAGCTGTGCAGTCTTCTTCCGTGACCCTAGTTGGAGACTTTAATGTAAATATGGACCCAGCCCATCCGGCACCCCAGCACAAACACCTCACCGACCTCTGTGCTGCGTTTGGCCTCCAGAACATCGTCATGCAGCCGACCCGTGAAACTCCACAGTGCCCCGAAGGCACGATGATCGATCTCATATTGACCAACCCGGCGCTAGTGTCCCTAGCAACGGTTGTGCCCACTGATATTAGTGACCACAGCGCTGTGGAAGCCTTTATTCAGCTTGCCGTTGACGTTCCACCCGCGTCATCCACGACGTCGCGGCTGACCAGGAATATACGTGGCGTTGACATTAACTCTTTTCGGCAAGATATCCTTGAGGCTTCTCTACATGATTTTTCGGACCACAATGATGTAAATCACATGTGGAAAGAGTGGCACACTAAGTTCCTGTACGTTTTGGACAAGCATGCCCCGCTGCACAACTCTAAGCCTTCCCGGAGGGCGATACCTCCCTGGTCTGACAGAGAGCTGCACCAGCTCGAACAGCGTAAACGGCGGCTGCACAGCCGTTGGCGGAAGGATAGGACAAACGGCACACTGTATGCAGAGTTTAAACAAGCACGTAGCACTGCTCGGAACGCGTATCGGCGCAAGCGAAACGAGTACTTCTCCCGTCAGTGCGAAGAAAATGTGGCCAACCCTAGGAAGTCTTGGGCCATTCTAAATGCAGTCACTGGGCGTTCACGTCGCCGCCAAGATCCTAGTTGTAGCATCAGCAAGGTGGCCGACACGTTCCACTCCATTGTCACCGATCCCAACCGTCCTGAACAACTCTGTACCCCGCACGGTCCCGGTGGACCCGTCTCCTTGACCGAACTTGATCCTGTGACTCCTGCTGACGTCCGACGTCTCCTTGAGAAGTTGGATGCGCGGAAAGCCACAGGTAGTGACGGCATACCGGGCTCTCTGCTACAGCAGTGTGCTGACTTGCTTTCATATTCTCTTGCTGTGCTGTTCTGCACCTCGCTGAGGACTGGAACCATTCCATCCGCATTTAAATTGGCGTCTGTCGTGCCACTGTACAAGGCCGGTGACCCATCAGTCCCCACCAACTATAGACCTGTATCCCTTCTCCCAATAGTGTCCAAGTTGCTGGAGAGGGTAGTGCAACACCAGTTAGTTCGTCATTTGGACTTGACCCAGGCATTACCCGAAACACAATTTGCCTTCCGCAAGAAATGTTCCACGGAAGACGCCCTCTGTGTGCTGACTGATAATCTGCAGAAGGCGAGAGACAGTGGCAAGACCACAGGGCTGTGCCTATTAGACATGTCGAAGGCTTTTGATAAAGTGCACCACGACAAGTTAATTCAAGACCTCCTTGCGGTTGGAATTTCTGGAAAAGCCCTTAGTTGGTTCGTCGACTACTTGTCCGGCCGCAAGCAGCAGATCCTCATCTCGCCTTCAACCAGCCCTGCTCTGGCTTGCACCTGCGGAGTGCCCCAAGGCTCTGTTCTCGGCCCTGTCCTCTTCAGTATATACACACGCGATGTCCCTTTGGTTTCCTCGCCTGTGCCAAGTGTACAATTTGCAGATGACATAGCCCTGTACGACTCCCAGGCCTCAGCGGCGGAAGCGTCCAGAACCCTCACCACAGCGGCAACTGCTCTGGCCGGTTGGCTGAAGTCCCGAGGCCTCATCTTGAACGCCACCAAGAGCCAGGTTCTGACTATCTCTCCCCAGCAGCATGTACAGGAAGTAACAGTCAAAAGCGGCGACTGTCTCCTCCCCTCAGCGTCTTCTGCGCGCTACCTCGGCGTTCACCTTGACAATCGCCTAGATTGGGACACCCATGTAAACTATGTGGTCACCAAGGTTGCCAAGAAAATTGGCGCCTTGTGGCGGGCACGCCGAAGCCTATCAAGACGCTCTCGTCAGGTGTATGTGAAGGCGGTCATAATGCCCGACCTGCTTTATGGCTCCTGCTGTTTCTCAGCCGCAATGCGAGAGGGTCAACTCAAACGACTGCAAACCACGCAAAACAGAGCCATCCGCTGTATCGATGGCAACCCGCCCCGGACAGCCATGCAGCCGCTGCTCACTGCTCACTCCCTGTACCGTGTCAGCGAGCTCTACAGGCAGAAAATATTGATCACCATCTGGCGGTGCATCCACGCCCGCACCAGCCCTGTGCTCGCCCAGCTTCTGACCCCGGCACAAGGCACCCCTACCCGCCATCAGCAGTCAAATGGCCTACTAAGCCAGGCAAACCGTAGCCGCCGCGGTCAGCGGAGATTTTCTGTTGCTGGTGCTCTGCTGTGGAACGCTCTCCCTGGTGAGGTCCGCACAATTACCCGGCTACCTGAGTTTAAGCATGCATGTGTACCATACGCCTGTAGGGAGTAGTTCGAGTTGCTGCTTATCGCTCTGCTCTCCCTCCCCGTGCAGTTCAGTGACCCGGACGTAGTATCACAGATACATCGTATTCTCTCTCTCCCCCCGTTTACCCGCAGTTATTAGTATCCTATTCTCTTACTATGTGCTGCCATAGCTCTTACTATGTTCTTCCATAGCCACTTCTAGGCTAAGCCTTCGCCGTCATTTTATTGGGTCGTCATCCCGTTTGAATGTGCGAAGTGAAATAAAACCAACCAACCAACCAACCATGTCACCTACACTGTACATGTACCGGGTCGCGGAGGAGCTTGACGACCTCCGCTGACTCCAGGTTTCCGAAATACTGCCGTCGTCTTCGTCGATGTCGCTGGTGACATCCCTTGCAGGACGTGCACATAGTTGTCGTCCCAGGGGTAAAGACTATGTTGTCTTTCGAAATAGTTCTTCATCACGCTCGCGCGAATGATGTTTCTCATCATGAAGACATGAACTCGTTCCGACGGTGTGACACGGCGATGGTCTTTGGCGGGGCACTGGTTGGCGAAAACGATATCTTCTTGTGCAATATAACATTGATCGGCTGCAGATGAGTACAGTCACTTCGTGGTTGGTCCTATAGGAGGGCAGCTGCCAGGAAAGAGGCAGGACTCATCGAAGACGAAGCGCTCGCAACAAACAATAGCACTCTAAATATCTCGTAAGATTTAGGGCCTATCGCTTTGAGCCACAGCGCTCACAGCCTTGCCTACTTCATCAAAGTGAGCTCTACATGTTCGTTGACCTCTTCACACTACACAGAAGAGCGAAACAAGGATTATGTCTTAGCATTTCAACTCCAACAGCAGGCCATTACCAGTACGAGAGAGAAAACTACAAAGGGCTTCGCTTTGTGTCGCATCGTCTCTCTTGCATGCAAACTAACGAGAAAATCGTGTACTTACCCTCGCATTCACACGCGAACTATCAAACACGTCCTGTGCCGCATGCTGATCAGGTAGTGCCATGTATGTGTTGTACAGTGTACTCTCAGTTGACATGCCCCCTTTCGAACCCAGACAATCTTTTCGGGATTGGTCTATTACTCTCATACAGTTTCTAAACGATTGGATAACAGATGCCCAATTTGGGAAAAAATTATGCACAAAGTGATCACAGATTTTATGTGGTGTAGATGCTGGCATAACGGTTTTTGCCTAGGTACGCGTCTATAGTTTAGAAATAGACTGTAGTCATTATTTGTAAAAGAAAAAAGGCCCAACCCTGCCTTGCCAGTTATGTGGACATGCACTAACACACCTACTAAAAAAACGACTCCTGGCTTCTACCTTCCCGAAACCCAGCCCTCAGATTCGACGACCAATTGAACTGGAGTATGTTTTCAGTGTGTGTTCCGGTCCAATAGCATTGTAAAGGTAGTCCAGAACGTAATAAATACAGCATGGTGGCTCATCTGGGCGAGAAGGAATCAGAAAATTCCTTTCTGTGAGGTAAAAAGCGGTGAACTAGACGTCAGACAATGGACTTGCAAGAACGGATATAAAATAACTAATACAAGGGAAAAGAGAACTTCAATGTCAGTGGACAAAAGGCTAGCTTCAAGGGAGAGCAAAGCTGAAGTTGAGTTGGGAACGGGCGAGGCAAAGTCTCGTGTTTGGAGAACCCAGTAGCAAAAAAGAGGCAGCTTTATACAATACAGATTATAGCGACAGATGAGTGTCTGTTTGGATGCATACCGTTCCGTTTGGGCATGTGTGGAAGATCAGGGCACCAATAGTACACAATGCAGGCATAGGGCAAGACGGGCTGGGACCCTAAACGGACACAACGATCACTGCAGTGCGGCGCCGTCTGCAGCGTAATCCGCAAGTGTCGGCGAGTAGACAGCACTTAGCCGCTGGTGACGCAATAATCACTGAGTGAGTCTGCAGGGCAACACGCAGTTCCTCGAGGAGAAGACAGCGGCATTCAGCAGGCCGTAGTTGAACAGCGCCATATCGCCATAATAGTTGGCTAGGTCAGTGTAGGTTGACTGGACAACAAACAACAACAAAAAGCAATTTTTTTGCCAGAATTATTTTTTTGCCCGTATAATTACTGTCTTATAGTCATTCACACGATGTGCAAACTCACTTTTATCGTTTCCAAGGATATTTACTCGCATATTAGAGAGGTTCCGGGGTACGATTTTCCGTGCCAAAATCCGTATGGGCGCTACGGATTTTTTCCAGGCGTGCTCCATACGATTTTTCGGCACGAGAATCCGTGTGGACTGGCTTTCATACGAACCATGCTTCGTATGGAGATTTTTGCGTCATCGGGTGCAGAAAGATTTTTCGCGTACAAATTTGGTACGAGAAACATCGATTTTTCGCGGGAAGTTTTGATTTCGGTACAAATTTTCAAAATAAAAAGACATAGCGCGGGAATGTGACGTGTTTGCGATCGTAACCTAGGCAATGACGGCAAACACATAAGTTTCGTACCCCGGAACTTTTCACTGCTCGAAAACGACTTATAAAAAATCCGTAGAGCCTCTACGGATTTTGGCACGAAAAATCGTACCCCGGAACCTCCCTATTATGGTAAACTTGGACACACGCGTGCAACTGATTTTTGAACTTGGTTGGGGCCCGTGTGCTCACGACTATACCCAGAGTACAATAATTCATGTACTCTTGATTACACTTGCAAGGTGTCGGTTGTTGAAAGTGTGTACTGCAAATGCAGTGCTTATAGGCCATTCACAGGACGTGCAAACACTTGCACACGTGTGACCAAGATAACACTGGCAACCTGTGATCCACTTCACACGGTGCTGGGCAAACATTTGCACGCGTCAATGTATCCATAATCACAATGACTTCCTGAAAGTGCGGGGAAATTTTAATTTTGAATTTTCCTTTGTTGAAGCACTGCATTTGCAGTACACACTTTCAGTAACCGACACTTTTGCTGTTAAAGGTCTTCCTGACACACCCAACCAAACCACACCCATTGTCATACTGTGGAAAAAGAAGTTCTGTTGTGCATACCCAATCATGTCCAACTGCCACGCTACAAGCCAATCTTAGTTTGAAGAAGATCATGGAATTGACTAGAGTTTTTGCTCCGGGTACAGTTTTTCTTGCAGTCACAAATGGCAGACATCCCCAGGTCCTGTGAGTGTGAGTCTCCAAACTTCTGGTGCATTACAATTTCAGCTTGTACTGCTGCTGCCTGTATACACTGTCACACTGAACCTTGCAAAACAAAAATTTAATGTTAGCCTCAACAGATTCTAGGCCAAAAATAACCGAAAATCAATATGCGCCAAATATTTGTTGACTTCTTGTACATGTTTAGTTGCAATTCGCAAACTTCTACTGTCGGAAAGGTCTCACTTGCACTGTTTTATCACCTGTCTACTGTACATATTCCAATGTTCGTTTCCCTTTTCTTTTGCTTAACGAGAAGGCTTGAAAGTATACTCGTGAAAACCTTCAAGAAGACATTGGTCAAGAGCCTGAAGTGTGTTCTCCTCCTTAGTATTAAAGGTCTCCCTGACACAACACATACTGACCTTTGCCTTGGGGAAGGTGACTGGGTCGACGTTAATAGTGCAGTTGTAACAGAAACCGGTGACTTCGGCCAACTGAAAACAAAAGGTGGAACAGAAAAACGCCAGAATGAACTCAAGTTTTTTGAAAAGCATACACCTCCATGAACACTGCTCATTATTAGCTGGAATCTCTTCCTTCACACTTACTATGGAGCATTTGCACATCTATCATCATCACATGATGTCGGCCATGTTGGTTCAAGTGTCCACATGCCATGATCACTTTCTACACAAATGTAGTCACATGACCAGGATATGAAACTGCTCTACAGGTGGTAACATGTCCACACTTGTGCAAACGGGTGATGTTTGCGACAAGAAATGTTTGCGTTTTAGAAATTCGGACAGGTTAGCACTGTTGAATGTTTGAGATTGAACACATCACGACTGAATGCTTCACATTATGGTGTGCAGGGGTGATTGGGGGCTGCTGCCTGTATACACTGTCACACGAAATTTCGCAAATCCACTACTGTAAAAAAAAAATTCACGGTTCGCGTGAGACTCGGCCAAAGGCCCAGTTTTCCACATCCGCAGGAACGCCACCACCCTCTTGGATCAAGGCGCAGATGCAGCTCCTAAGCTACTACTGTAAGACATGTATATATAACGAGGAAGTAAATCTAAAGTTTTAACGGATGACATTTCTTCGTTATAATAAGATCCGTTGAGGCCATACTGCTTCATATGTTGTGTGTGGATAAGCCGAAATACTGCAAGATCGTTAACATATCTTCTCGTGAACCTATGAATTTTGGACAATCGTTAAATTTGCGACTCGTTATAATAACATGTCTGACAGGACTGGAAACATGTACCAGCTATTCAGTTTTGGCTCCGAGCAACTGAAGCCCCCTCCCCTGCAGTGATTTCTGTATTTGCTCCTGGTGTGTTCATGGCGTGAATGCTTACCAGGGTTGCAACCTTGGTCTCCACGTTTGTCATGTTGTTGCCAAGCGACGCGAAGGGCGTAGTGTAGTGACGTGAGCCTTCGCCGTTCAGAATAACTTCGTAGCCGGCAGCCTTCTCGTAGTACTGTCGGTCAAGGGTGGTCTTCAAGGCGAACATGGACAGTTGGAAGTGATCGAACTTAGTTGGCTGCACGGGTTTGGGAAAAACACAAACACAAAAGAGACACAAGATTATTGAGTAGCAGTTCATGGACATCTGGAGGGGGATGACGTGAGGTGCCGCAACGTAATTTTGTTTAGCTAATGTCCGTAAGCACACAGGCATGGTAAATGTTGGTGACCATAAGCTCACAGGCAGAGGTATTTGCTAGAATTGATTGAGGACCATCAGCCATGAACGCCAAGCAGGACTGTACCAAGAAATCAATAAACAGCAACCTTCAGAACACAAAAGCCGCGTTTAATACGAAATACAAGCCATCTCTTTCATTCCGAATAAAATTTGCCCCGAGAGAGCCCAACTGCAGTTGACCGGGTCCGGGGCACCAGAATCTCAAAGCACATGCCACACGGTGTGTGCAAGTATTACATGAAGTCGTGGCAGCGACTTGGAATTGCTTTATCGACTGAAGTGAAGTGTAAAGTTAAGCCGGCGGAAATAGGTACGAGCTTGAGTGCCGCAAACAACAAATCTTCTTGTATGCATTCCTAAGTTCTAGAAGTTCCAATGAAAAGCAGAAACAAAGTGCGGCACTTACATTGGGCACTGGTAGCATAATGGAACCCGGCGGGAAAGTGACACCGATATTGCCGCCAGCATCCTGAGAATCAGGAATCGAAAAGACCAGAACAAAGCAGTATTTGGATAAGTCCACAGCAACAGCACGTCTGTTTTTTTTTTTCTCTGTACGGTGCCCCAAAAGAGTGCTTGTACAATCCCCCAGTGCTATGACGGCAGAGCTCCACATCACATGACATCATTCAAGAGAGTGGCGTTCACATCAGTTTGTCACGTGACTACATTTGTGCAGAAAGCGACCATGGCATGTGCATATGTGGACATTGGAAGCGGCATGGCCGATATCATGTGACCCATAGATGCAGGGGTTGAGTGGAGTTGTCAGTTGGAAGCCAACATGGCTGCCCTGTATGGTCATGTGATAGATGTGAAACCACTCTGTTCCCAAGGCCCTATGTGAGTAAAAAAACCAGTGCAAAGTGATCAGCAGGGAGCTTTACCCAAACAAAGCAGGCTTGCTTACAACCCTGTACCCAACCCTGTACCCTTCAAGCACAGGGTGCACATCAGCTAGGAAGTCGTCGAATACAGGTATTTGACGACCCCCCTGAGTTGCACAGACATGTATATACACTTTAGAAATGCAGTTCAAAGGTCAAGGCCAGTGCATTGAAAAATAGAACCATGTAGCATGCTATTATAATTATTATCGATGTGAGAATACTCGTCATGCATGCAGCTCACACCTGAAACACGCCAAGTCCCGTGGTACCATTATTAGATACTCGTCTGGTCACGTGATAGATTTGAAGCAGGGAGTAGTACAATACCGGTATTGTACTACATGTACTAGAACTCCCTGATTTGAAGCAATTCTATTCTCTATACAGACTGCACACACTTCGAAGTACACGGTTGCGCTCCGTGAAATTCGACCCTTATTTGGAGCCCTCAACTCGCATGGCCCGTGACGCCCTGGAAGTGGCACGAATGCGGCTGGACGTACACGTATACTCATGCACAAATACAGTGATGGAATCGGAAAAAGGTCCAGGGCGCCTGCTTTGCACTTTGGGCCGGATTTCACCGAGCGCAACTAACTACCCAGTTACAATACAGCTACATCAGGACATCACTCCTTCTCTGATAAAGACCGATATACATCATTCCCTCACTAGTGGCACCATTGTTATTAGGCTAGGGCCTGTTTGGACTTCCCACTCTAAATAAAGAATACAAACAAACAAACAACCGTAATCGTGATTGCAGTTCTATACAATCATGCACTGTGCCATGGGAACCGAGGACAATATTGTGCCGAACGTCTTAGTGAAACTGTAATCGTACAAGTTTACATGGTGAATCTGTGCATTAATATTTCCTTACAGCTTTGGTCAACGTTTGATCTGACAGCTCTGCCCGTTTTGGTATACGAATTAATTACGTGCATTGTGATCATACAGAAGAGATGCGATCGCGCCCACTGCAACGAGCGCCCCCCGACAACACTGCCCGTACATGTACATACAGTAGCAAGCACAATCCCACATCAAGATCGACATACCTTCTTGAACTGGTCGACGGCACTGCAGGCCAGTGTCTTCACCTGCGATGTTGGCGTGTAGGCAAGGCCAGTCAGCTGGCACAGGTTGAGCTTCGCCGAAGATACCAAGCCGAACAGGCCCACAAGCACAACGGCCAAAGGCAGCAGCACGGATCTTGAAACGGCCATGACGGAAAATAACAGGGGAGTAATGTAAACGTCACTTCAGAGTTTCTGGTAAGGTCACAGTGGAGGATTTTCTACCACTGATTGAGAACCAACTATGCTCAAGACCTTGCCTTTTACACTAGCACTAACAACGAAAGGGCGCAATTGGCTTGGCAAGACGTTGTCACAAGGTTACTGGTTAGGCCGAGCCCGCCTTGGAATACAGTCCTCAATGTGCATGCCATCAAGAGTACATAAATTATGTACTCTTGATGCCATGTAGCACTGCTATGTACGTCGCCTTTCGCGCAAAAGCTGTGCAGTTGAGTCTGCTGAAGCCGTTGGACGCGCGCAATACGTTTGTGCTGCGCGCGGTTGCGCGCACCGAATGATCATTCGAATATTCCCCGCTTCCGCGGACGCGACGGCGGACTACATTTTTTTTGTAGACATACAGCGAAAGCGGGGAAAGATCATTCGGTTTGCGCGACCGCGCGCGACACAAACGTCAAGACAAGCGCGATCTTGTTCACAGTTTCCGCGTCGTACCGTAGTCCGATCCGAAGGTACACACCATTATATTAAAAATCTCACCATTATATACATGTACATGACAGTGACCATGGAGTTGTACATGTATATCGTAAAGCCGTTTATACAACTCTGTTCATGACCTGGCGACCCGCGCTGCTGATATCATTACCGGTATATCCGCGGAGTTGCAAGAAAAGTACCGGTAAAACGGGCAGGCGGGATCAGAGCCTCGGAGTCTTTGAAAAACAGAGACGCTCTTCGACTTCACCAGCAGTAACAGGACGGACTCGGTCGTCCATGTGTCAAAGAAAGCTGTTTGTGCTGAGACTTCAAATATAATTCAACGTAAACAACAGCAACAACAGTTGCGGGATGGAATGCTGGCAAGGCAAGGCTTGCATAGGGCGGTTATTAGGAGAGTAAGGAGACTCCCTTCGATAGGCATCTATTTGCCTCTGGAGGATCCGTGAAATAAAAATCAATCAAATCAAATCAATCAATCAAAATATTAGGATTGGAACTGACTGCCAGGAGAGGTCCTCTCCGACACCACTGACTGGAGAGCCTCAGAGGAGCAGCGGTTGTTGTTGTTTCAAATCTTTATTCTCGTGTTGTTGTTGCTGTTGTTGTTTTTTGTTTGTTTTTTGAATTCCTTATTCTCACCGTTGTTGTTGTTGTTGATTTTATTTTAATTCGCAGTGACCAAACGAACAGAGGTGCCAAGAAGCTCGAGGGGATTTAAATTAAAAGCAGAAAATATTAGATAATGGGGAAGGGGTAGGTGGAATCTGGTCCGAGATGGACAATGAGAGCTCTGATACGGAGGGGCGAACGGTCCCGCACACAACCTGTCACTGGCTCGATAGTGCATGCTGAGACGGTCATGTCCTGGCATTCTTGTGGTACCCACACACTTTGACACTCAGTCCTCATTTACAACAACGTCCCCCGTGAATTGCGCGGACAAATTTGTCAAATTATGCGCATAATTATGCGGCCTAAAACAGTCAAGTATGTAAGGATTATGCGGCAATACGCGGGGGAATACAATCATTATGCGGACCGTCAGCATCAAGATTTCCATTGAAAATGTTAAAATTAATATGCCCTTATTATCCATTCAAAAAATGAAATAGTTGTACTTTCTTTTTGCTGATTGACTAGTGTCCTGCGATTGTATGATGATTGAGAAGGCCAGGAATACCCCACAGGAAGGGAATGCAAGCATTCAAAACCAACGTTTATCGCCATCTGCGACGGACAAACTGGCTCTGGGCAGTCGACTCGCTATGATGATGCTCTCGCGCGTCTATCCCTATCTATGCACCACAACTGGCTCGGACAATCGACTCGCCATGATCAGCCATGATGATGCTCCTCTCAGTCACAACCCTTGTAATGTGTTAATTAATAGTCTCACAGTTTCTCCCGCACACTCGCTGGTGTTAACCCTTCCTTTCTTTTCACTTTCCTGACTCGTACAGCTCTATCTTTTATCTTGGCGCGTGTTTTTGGCCGTGATGCCGAGACCTCAGGTCGGCAGAGCCATCAATGCCCCACCATCATCACTGCTGCGTCTAGTAGTGCAGCCCCTGTTGTCACGTTCGTCCTAGTCTCAGTGCGTTCGTACCATTGTCTTCCTTTATTATTTTCGAGCTGGGAATGTGAACATAGTAAAAATAAATAAAAAATAAAAAAACAGTCACTGGGTACGGAACTTCATCTGCCTCGGTGGTTTCAGACCATCTCTGTCCTCCATCTTACTGCTGCTTGGAGAGCCAATACTGCAAAGGCTTCAGCGATGGAAATTCTCATTTTCGATTCCGATTCTGAGATATCGCTGCTACAACTTTCTCCTGACGTCAACCGCCACTACTGCACCAGTAGATATCGACATCAGCTAGAGCAGACTACTAGTATATCCCTGCTAAAAGCAGCGTAGCTGAACGATTTTGTCAAGAACAACATGATCGAAATGGCTCAGCGCTGGTAAGACACACTTCACTTCTTGTCGTGCAGACTGCGGCGGGATCGTCATTGCGCGGACTTTCCTTGCTGTTTCTCTAAAAATCAAGGTTCATGTGACGTCAACGCGGATGTTGTAAGAAAATGCGATTCATGTTTTTTTTTTTTTTTTGATAGTCCAGGGATGGCCCACGCCTGGTAAAAAGAATAAACAGAAAAAGAAAAAAAGAAAAAAATATTTTTAAAAGTAGAAAGGAAAAGGACATATGGAAACGAGTTAAGAGTAACTCTCCACCACTGTAACTAGATACTATATACAGTCAGAAAGTGCAACAACTAGGCACAAAACTGACAGAGTACTGAGACATTCGACGTCCTGACACCTAGCTTCAACACATCTTCGTAGCGCTAACCGACAGTCTTCCAACTTGGAAGGTTCAAGGTTATGGAAAGACCAAAGAGGGGAAGGCAAGCGCAACGAAAACGAGCACAAGCTACAGTCCCAACGGAACAAAGAATGTCGATTGTCACTGGACGATGACGAGACCAGTAGGCGATTTGACAAAGCGGTCTAACTACAATTCGAAGCAGCAAAGCAGCACACCACCCAACTTGGGTGGGTCAAAAAGTGTTGAAGCTAGGTATCAGGACGTCGAATGTCTCAGTACTCTGTCAGTTTTGTGCCTAGTTGTTGCACTTTCTGACTGTATATAGTATCTAGTTACAGTGGTGGAGAGTTACTCTTAACTCGTTTCCATATGTCCTTTTCCTTTCTACTTTTATTATTGGCTCAATACCCGATTTTCAAATATTTTTAAAGGCACCCATTTTGATAATCCAGGCCAGGGGATGGCCCACGCCTGGTAAAAAGAATAAAATAGAAAAGAATCATGACAAGTACATGACTAGACCTCTAGAAAAAAATGTACATGTCTGACTTTAGTTCAACAGTCCTGCAAGGAAACACGTGCCTCGGCTACCACTACAGACGCGGGGTCCCTGGTGACACGGTGTGCGGATGATGATCTTGCCCCACGAAGGCACATCACGCTAGCTCGGACTAATGCAAAGCTTAGCTTGCAGCGAAGCCATGCCATCGTCACGGAGTACGGCTCCTTCAGCTTGTCAGATAGCATGCTGGCAAGACGCTTGAACAGGGCCGATGCACACTTGCTAGTGCCACCAGTGGCTGACAGCACTACTGGCACGAACGTGGCGCGGTCAACCTCAAGCAGACGCTGCTCATATCTCCGGCGTTTCTCCTTTTCATGACGTGCATACACCGAGGAAACTGAGGCAGCGCGATTTGAGGCAGCGTAGGGGTTGAAAACCCTTATATCAAAAAAGGTGCGCTCAAATCGGCCACCCCAGATTCCGTTGGCGGCAACATCAAGACGAGCCTGATCAGCGGTCGTTGTGGACAGAAGCCGGAATTTCTCTCCGGTGACTGGCTGCAGCATCGGTTCTGTGCACACACCATGCGTGACCTGACGCAGAACATCAGCCGTGAGGTCTCGAATTTCATTGTGTCGAATACTGGGGAATCCCCCAGTACTGCAGGACAAGGCATGGGTGACGTCAAAGTTACCATGGCCACAGACGCATCCTGATGGCAGGCGTGCTGGTGTCCACCCGTACCGGACACAGAGGGCATCGCGAAGCTCCGCCTTGGACAAACGAAATCCATGGATGGCTAGAGGGCGGCAAGTCAGCCAGCTGGAGGCCCCCTTCTCCGAAGCTGGTGAGGAAAATGTTATCAACTCCAAAGCACGAAAAAGGCCAAAAACTAAACCAAGAACATATGCAATAACATGTTATTTATAAAGACAGGACAAGTGAATAATTAGTCAGTCCATTGTTCATGATGATCTCCGACGGTTACGTCGGCAAGCGAGCCTCCGCCACTGCCAAAGCAGCGTGGGCTCCGCAGGAGGGTGCAAATTTCAAACCAAAATTTAAACGCCTACAACCGCGAATGCACATGATACAGGATTTCAGAAGGCTGAAGGAAATCCTGCATCTAACAAATGCCATAACATGAGAGTAATGCTCACCCCTCTTCTCCGCCAACAGATGAGCAATTCGTTTGTACAGTGCTGTTGATGCTGGACCCATTCCGCCACTGGCTGACATGACCGCCGGAACAAAGGAGGCTTGCTCAACCTGCCTCACCCGCTCCTCATAGTGCCTTCTCTTTTCTTTTTCATGTCGCTGATACACAATAGTATGTGGTGCAGATCGATTTGAGCGTGAGTGAGGATTAAAAACCCGTATATCAATAAGTGTACGCTCAAAACGACTGCCCCACAAACCATTGGCAGCGACATCCAACCGGGCACGGTCTTCCACATTTGCGGTCCGGTAGCGAAGACGCTCCCCCGTCAGCGGTTGCAGCAAGGGCTCGATGGACACACTGGTGCACACCTCGTCCAGCAGCCGGGCCGTGACGTCCCGAATACCATTGTGTCTAATGGAGGGAAACCCTCCATAGGGGCACGACAGGGAATGCGCGACAGTTGCCTCTTGGCCGCAAGAGC